GTTAATTTATGGCAATCATCTTCAGGAAATGCTTACTTCTCCAAAACCAGCTTGTAGGATACGTGCCTTGATTTAATTTTGAATCTTGGGGTCCATGCTCACTTGTTAGAGCCAATGATAACTGATGATACTTCCACCATTGAAGAAGGGTATGTCTCAGAATCGTTTTTTGAGAATGAAGATCAGCTCATAACACAAGGGAAAAGGAAAACAAATTTGGTTAAAGTTCTGGGTGCTTCTGCTGCTATTGATAAGTTTGAGTCTTGGATTTTGAACATTTTATATGAAATATTACTCCTCCTTGTTCAGGTACACTTTATCAACAGCCTTCCTTCCATTGCATCTCTTAAGTAGCTTCCCTATGCGTTGCATAATTTTTCTCCTTGTTCATACTGGAAGTTTATATACTACTTGAACGACACCATAGGTTCTAAATTGTGCAATATGTTTGTATAATGCTTTAGATTTCGATAGGCAAGTAGATAAACAAGTACAAACTTTTCTGTTTGGTATTCTGACAAGATAGACAGATAGGTATCAGTATCATTTAAGAAGCTTTTCTCTTAGAGTAGATTCTACTTCATTTATTCCACAAGAAAATCTCTTACATTGCACAAAAGGCCTTACAGCCGATTCTTTAAGATAAATTTGCTGGAAAGACATATAAACGTGGGACCCATGAAAGAAGCAAAGAGGAGTTTGAGTCTATATTGAGTTGAAAGTTGGTTTTTTAAAGGAACTAATGAGAGTTAGAATTCTTTAGAAATTTCTATTACGTATTTAGATTTATATATAGAATAGGAAGTTAAAGCTAGCACTATGATTCCTAGAATTATAATTAGATTTAGATTGAGAATTTTAATAAAAAACTAGGATTATGATTTCTAGAATTATAATAGGGTTTCATTCAATTTGTTTTCCCATAAATGTGCATATTATTATGAATAAAATCATCAACTATTAATTCAAAAAGTTTCTCTCTTAAAGCTTAGAGGTTTTCTTAAACAAGCCGTAAGCCGGGAAACCAAGAAGCAAGTATCTCACTTGCTTCAAAATTTCACACTAGCAGGTCCTATGACTAGACTTAGAGCCTGGACCATGACGTGTTGGAGCATTGTGCTCTAGAGGCTTTTGGGAAATCATTAAGTTGTCAAGGTCTTTAGCAGGGGGGAGTTGTTCAAATGTGGTTTTCAAACCTTAGGCTTCTAAGGATGCACCCTATTCGGTCAATACAAGATGTTTCACGGAGGTCTCGCGGAACCTCAACAATTGGAAAAT